GAGAAAATTGGTCGTGAAGCGAAAAACCGTCTACATTTTTATTTTTTTATAGCCATACAAATTCAATCAGATCGGTTCCAATTTTTATAAAAATGTTTAAATTTCATAATTTTGTTGTTAGCTGTCAGGATATGGATATAGCAGGCTCTGGCACGTTGTCAAGTATTTGATCGGTTACTTTCTGGATCAACTCCTGTTTCGAAAGAAATCATTTATGCTGATCATTAAGCAATTCAATCAAATCATTATTTTCCAGATATTCACACCCAAGATCCTTGATCGTTGCTGAACACGAGGAGGTATTTAATTAACGTTTAAATCGTGCGCATCATTGGTGAAAAAAAATACTTTAGGCCATTTAACAACAAAATTTAAAGTTATACAGAAATCTCTTCGAATTAAATTGAAACATTTACATTCCATTATATAATATAATCATTCTGCATAAATTTTTAAAAGCATGTTCGGTTGATAATATGATAACCAAATATGTTGACCTGGAAGATTTAAAGCATGGTATTATCATTCCTGGTTCATGGAGAAAATACGAAGAATTACTAGCGTTTGACAGAACTAATATTGATTCTTTGGCAGAATCAAAGAAACCACAAGATGAGTTAGAAGTTTATTAGTGGTGCAATCAATGTAAAGTTTCCTTTCAATATAAAATGATTAATTAAGTATGAATAATATAGAATAGAATAATATAACCACCGTCGTTTGAGAAATCTGATAGACTGGAGCGTTAAGATATCTCGAAATATCACAAAGGTGTGACATTATAAAGTGAGCAGTACTTAGATACGGTGGTGATAAATAGAATAATATAACATTATATGTAATCTATATATATTTGCGCAAATCTTTGTAATTAACTAGATCCATGAGTAAGTAATACGTGGTGATTTCATCAAAATTGCATACGTAGTGCTAACACACAACAAGATTTTGAGAGATTCATTTTTAGTGCGGACAAAAAATAGTTATTTGTACTACTAATAACTGCTAATTTTTTTGTTCTTTAGTTATATAATAAAGAAATAAAAAATTTGGATTTTAAAATTACTTGCTTGTCTTGATGTTCAAAATTCTACTTCAGTATAATATTATTTCTAGATAACAAAGTCATATCTAAAAACGTAGGTATCGAAATTTTTGATTTGCCAAATTGCACGAATTTTGAAACAAAATTTTCTCCTTCGCCATATGCGGTCGTTTTTTCACAATTTCTGCTTTTAAATGACCCAGTAATACCGTGTAGTAATTATTATTGATGGTTTTGAAATAGTCAATCTCCATGTGCATCCCAAAATACTGAAGCCATAATCTTCACAACTGACTGTTGTGCCTTTGGACGCTTCGGGCGTGGTTCTTCGGCTGCAGTCCACTCAGATGGATCCATGTTTCATCTATTGTCACACATCTATGCAAAAAATATGATTTATTACGAGTAAACATGACCAAACACTGCTCTGAATTATCAACACGTTGTTGTTTTTGATCGAGTGTGAGTAAACGCGGCACCCACTTTGAAAAGAGCTTTCTCATGGTCAAATGTTCATGCATAATTGTAAACATACGACCTTCTGATATCTGTACAGTCTCAGCTACCTCACTCAATTTCAATTTACGATAAGATATAACCAATTTGTGGAGTTTTTTGATATTTTCTGGAGTTACCACCTCAATTGGACGACCAGAACGTTTACCACCATCGGTGTCTGTACGATCACGTTTAAATTCAGCAAACCAATAACAAATGGTTCTTTTCGATGGAGGAGAGTCCAGATAATACTTTTGAAACCATTGCTGAGCTTGTATAGTATTTTTGTCATCATGGAGTAATAATAAATTAACACATGAAATTGTCTTGAATCCATTGCTTTGGAAATAACAAAAATAGCTTCACAGCCATTTAGCTGCCACTTTTTTTCTGACTAATCAAAATGTCATGAAATTTTACACATAGTCTTTTGAAGGTTACCAACCTTACTTCATAAACGTCCTATGGATTTGACAATGGCAGGCGCATCTGTATGTCAGTCACACGACTTATTGAGTGATGTGTTATCTTTCAAAATATAGCGAATAATTCAAGCCATAAAACCCTAAAATGAAGTATATGTAATCAGTTAAAGTGATTCTGCAGCTTAAACAAAACATGAAATGAACATAGTTCCAACAAGATGCTATACTACTCACTTAATATATTATATTAATTGTGATCCACACGTGAAATATATTCCTTCTTTAGCTACATATTAAAAATTAGTTCTGATTGATGTGCATCCAATAGGAGAAATGAATTATAAAAAATCAAAATTTAGCTAATAGTTTTGAGTAAATTTTTTTTTTGAAATTTAACGGTTAATATTAGTACTTAAATATAAATAATTTTAATTGTTTAAACAATTTCATAAAAGTAAAATCAATTATCTTTAAAACGCTGTAAATTTCAGTTTCTATCTTTTATAAATCTTGAGATATACCCATTTGAAAATGTGTCTACAATGCCAATTCTCAAAACCCCATGGGTCCATATCTCCTAGGAAAAAAATCACAAAATTTTTTCTCGAGATACAAATCTTCAAAATCGGAGCCAAGTCGGAGGTCATGAGGTAATGTTTTCCCAAAATCCGTACGGTTTGTAAAAGAATCACCCATACGCGTTTCAAAGAAGTCCCATCTGATGTAAACTATATTGTGCAATTTTATCATATTCAATTATGTAAGTGCATATGTGCATATGTATGTACTTCAGAAGAGTTTGTGCCCATTGATGTAACACTATACCTTACAAAAAAAAATTATGATCTCAGTCCGCTTTCTCAGTCTGAAGTTCACTACATGTACCGAACTTTTAAGAATTTTTTAATTTTTGACTATAGAAATTAATTATTATCATATCTTATGATATGAAGAAAAATCATATTTCTGTTAAAATAATTTTTAATAAATTGTACTTTTATCATCTTATCATATCATATTGTTAATATTGTTCATATACGACTAAATGCTATAAGCAAACAACATATTTTAAAATATGAACTGCTGTTGTTATTGTTTTTACCCATAAGAGTCCTGTTGGGAGTGGTCACCGGCACGTCGTCATCTAAAAAGGCAAGTCACTTTAAAAGAAGTTGCAAGTCTGAAAAAGTGTTTTCATTCCACAATATTTTTTTTCATTATTTTTCTATTATAATATTATGTCTACTCCAATATTATTATTATAATTATAACATGTTCTATAAATTACAATCACTATTCAAGAACTTAATCTATTCACATATGCTTTTCAGATACCCCTGCGTAGGGTCGTCATCAAGTTTCCATTCCTATCCGAAGCTGCTCTTATGAATTCTCGAATCATTTGAAAGTCAAACACAGTGGCTGATTAGACCAAAGCATTGTATTTCGGTTGTAGATTTGCTACCTTACATAATGGTTGTAAGATCACGGGCCTGCAAACCTGCCCCAGTCTTTATGTGGCAATTGGTATTTCCCCCAAAAACCAGATGTTTTCGAACAGTTATACCGTTTAACACTCAGTCGCCATTGACTCATATATTTAAAACAGGGATCACCACGAGAATTTAGAGTAAGACATTTGTGTAGAGAGGTTTTTTGAGACGCATGCTTACACCTTTATCACCATTATAATATTATATATATTATAATACTATTATTTTTATTATCATCAAACAATTGTTTGTATTTAAGAAACCATTTCTTTACGTGATTGATAACCAATTAAAGTATTTAAATGAAGACTAAATAAAATTTTATGGGAAATTCTAGTTATAACTAATTCTGTTATAACTGTTAGAAATTCTATCTGTCACCAAAAGCAATAAATTATATAAAATGTCACAGGTCGCTCTCAGCTTTTCAGAGCTTTTCTGGAAGTGGACCATCAAGAGGTTTGCAGCAACAAATTGGTTTAGCAAATCAACACAATCAAAAATAATAAATGCTTTCATTTATATTATGTAAATTATAAAATCTTTATAATCATTATAAAAAATGTACAATAATCATTTGTTTAAAATAACCCTACAATTCCAGTCTTTCCATGTGTAAAGACCGTAATATTACGATCTTTGTGTTATGCTATAATAAGCTTTATGTTCCGTATTTAAGGACATAGTTTTCCCCAGAACCGTTTTCCATTTGACATGGAAACTACTTCATTGTCCTTATTAGTGACAAAAACCACAGACAACATGTATATAGACGTTGCTAGATATATGTAAGCTCAATTGTAGAAATTATTTTTAAGCAAAAGTTATTATTACTGCCACATTGAAGAATGTAACGGTTACAATTATTTTTTATTAATAACTGTTTTGCTTAAATTAATTGTTTTATAAAGAGGTTTTTTCGAACAGCAGTGAACTAAAACAACAAAAATTCATTTTATATTATTTTAACTAATTGAATTTTTGACTGACCATACAGCTGTTTCGAGTATTGTCAAATACCCATCATCAGAGGTCTTAGGAATAATTCTTGTATTTAATTATACGTAAATAATTTTTGAGACTGCAAGTACCAGGAATCGAACTTGTGCCCTGCCAAATTTGAAACTCCAAGTCAGTGCTCCTTAACCAACTGACGCAATGCCGTACTGGACTTCTATGTTCGCACATTCTGTAGTTCTCTGTAGTTTTCTGTAGTTTTGTTAATTTGCTGTGAAAGTTTTATTAACAAATTTACTTTCTGTTTTTGTAATGGAATTAAATCATAAACCAACTGTAGAGTAATTGAATTAATTACTCATATTTTTATTTTTAATTGTTAAATTTCTTTTCAAAAACCTCTTTATAAATAATTTTAGAAATATTAATTTCCTAAGATTTATTTTTATATGTATTTTGTATGAATTTCGTATAAAAAATTGTCATATTACTACTATTAAAAGCACTATTCGGAATTTTTCTATAAGTAAGCTTCGTTTTTAATAAAAATTGTTTTATTTAAATGATACAAATTCTTGTTTATAAAAATATTGAAATAATTTTGCACACTGAAAATTAAGTGGAACATACATAATACATATTTGGAGCAGAAACCAAAGTGTACCAAAGTGTAGATATGTTTCCGTTTGGTTTAATAGTGTATCGCTTGTTGGTTGCTACATCAGCCGTAAGCAGCAAATACATTCTTTTATATTTGGAATAAATCAAAATATTAATAAATATTTATTTTTAGGTTACGTCATTCGTTGCGCTGCATATGACACTGACACATCTCTCCATTTCGTGCATACTCGGAAATGAAATCGCGATGGATGTTTATGTGAACATTACATTTTTACCAGTTTGCACCATTACCAACATTTCGCTCATTATTAGTCTAATCGTTTTTTATAACAAAGGGATGGACAATATAGTTAATTCAGATATATAATAATAATTATGTTCCATTGTCTTAATATAAATAATATTTTTGTAGATTTACCAATTCCATATATTGCAAACTTTTGGTTTAATGGCGTCGGGATCATATCAGATCATTTCGTTTTGGAGAGGATGTGAAGCCACCTATTTGTATCCACTTCATGTTGCTGGCATTATAACATATGTAACTGGCTTGGTTAACATGTTTATAATCTATTTCGGCCCAAAAAAAATAAATATGGTTGATGCTGAAGCAATGATGAATGAGGATTGGGCCGTACCAGATTAAATGTATTATGTTTTAAGATTTTTAAACATTTTTGTAGGAATGTTTTGTTAAGAAAAAATATATAAAAATATATAAAAAATATATAAAATATATATATATTTTATATATGGGTCATTCTTTTACAAACCGGACGGATTTTGGCAAAAAATTACCTCATGATCTCCGATTAGGCTGAAATTTTTTTTATGAGTTCCTTTCATAAAATAAGAAGACCAGTATCTCGGGAAAAAATTTTGTGATTTTTTTCCTAGGAGATATGGACCCATGGGGTTTTGAGAATTGGCATTGTAGACACATTTTCAAATGGGTATATCTCAAGATTTATAAAAGATAGAAACTGAAATTTACAGCGTTTTAAAGATAATTGATTTTACTTTTATGAAATTGTTTAAACAATTAAAATTATTTACATTTAAGTACTAATATTAACCGTTAAATTTCAAAAAAAAAATTTTCTCAAAAGTTGTTTTTAAATTTTCATTTTTTATATTTTATTTAGATTCAGTTTTAAATTTTACTACGAAATAAAAATTTTCAAGAAACCAACTTTTTTTGAAATTTTTTAATTTTTTTTTCTCCCGCAAAACACATTATGCACATGCATACTACATTTCTAATGAATGAATTTTCAAAGAATATATTACATATATTCCTATATAATATTTTTAATTTCGATTAGTAATAAAATTCTACATAAAACCCAAAAATTTCAGGAAGATATTGTAATTAGAAGTACTTTTAAAAATTTATTTATCTTTCATAGTAAAAGTTTTTGTATAGTTTTCGTTCGAAAATTGATTTCATGGTACTTTGGTGCGTATGAGTAACGTGAAGGACAACTGATTAATTAATTTTTTTTAATTACTTCTAAAATGAATATCACAGTGGAAATATTTATTTTTGAAGTAGAATTTATATATTAATTTGAATCAAAACTAAAAAAAAAATTTTTGTGACATATGCCTTTTTTTTTTTACTGAAAAATCGTGTGTATGTATTTGGTGTGATATGAAAGATAAATAAATTTTTAAAAGTACTTCTAATTACAATATCGTCCTGAAATTTTTGGGTTTTATGTAGAATTTTATTACTAATCGAAATCAAAAATATTATATAAGAATATATGTAATATATTCTTTGAAAATTCATTCAATAGAAATGTAGTATGCATGTGCATGATGTGTTTTGCGAGAGAAAAAAAAATATTAAAATATTTAAAAAAATAACGGTTTCCTGAAAATTTTTATTTTGTAGTAAAATTTAAAACTGAATCTAAATAAAATATAAAATATTAAAATTTAAAAACTACTTTTGAGAAAAATTTTTTTTTGAAATTTAACGGTTAATATTAGTACTTAAGTATAAACAATTTTAACTGTTTGAACAATTTAATAAAAGCTCAATCAATTATCTTTAAAACGCTGTAAATTTCAAGTTTCTACCTTTTATAGAACTTGAGATATAGCCATTTGAAAATGTGTCTACTATGCCAATTCTCAAAACCCCATGGGTCCATATCTCCTAGGAAAAAAATCACAAAATTTTTTCCCGAAATACTGGTCTTCTTATTTTATGAAAGGAACTCATAAAAAAAATTTCAGCCAAATCGGAGATCATGAGGTCTAAAAAGTGTCCGAGTTGTAAAAGAATGACCCATATACAAAAAATTTATAATTTAATATTGAAACATTAATTATATTTTTTATCAGAGACGCATTAAAGAATTGGTGTAGTCAAATTTTCAGTTATAATGAATAATTAGGATGTATTGAAAATTACAAAATTAATTCAAAATAAACTACAAGTTGTACATTTGTACTCTGTGCTTAAACCAATATGGACTTATGGTATCCAGCTATTTGGTAATGCTAGTGCTTCAAATATTGAAATTATCCAAAAAGCTCATTAAAAATACTTAATCAACAATACTAGGAATGAAACTATTCACCGACAGTTCGCGTTAACCGCTGGGATAGGAATCTTACACCTCTATCCACTACTTTCAGCCTAAAAAGAGCTGACCGTCTAGCCATTAATTGATATTCAATAGTTTCAAGTAAATACCCCAATCTTTGTAATATTATTATATGCATCCAAACCTCTAGTCCTCTCAACCAAACTGGAGATAACGCTCCTATAATGCTTTTTTATCGATTTTTAATCTAACAGTAGATATACAAATGTATCTCAACTAGCTTGAATCCAATATTTACAGTTTTTTTTTGATAGATGTTGGCCATGTAGTTATTGCAGTAGCAAATGTTTCTACAGTTTTCCAACAATCTTTTTCATACTTCATTATATTTTTTATATACTTCATTAGAACGAAGACTCAAGGCTAACATTTCGATATTTGCTCATCAGCTGTGCAATTTCGCTGTACATTTTGTAATTCCAAAACCTATATTAAGTGATTATTATTATCAGTAATTAATTATCACTTTATATATCTTGGCTATTTTTAGCCGAGAAGCTTTGCTACTTTGCTTCATATTTTTTTATAAAACATTTGGCTTAATTTATTTATATGCTCCTTCAGCTTATTACTCCAATACTTTTTTATGGTTCCTAACTAGTTTTTATATGACTATTAAACTGCCCGCAATTTATTATAACTATAGGGTGGAGGGAGTGCACATACAAAGTGAAGTGCCTGATTGCTTTTAACATGGTAAATACCAACGCGATCCTTGACACTGTTATCTTCACGTTGACACACAGCCACCACGTGGGACTCTCTGGATAGCTACAATTATCCGTGCGTAGTGAACAAATGAGTGCAGCGAAATCCTCCTCATGCATATATGAGGGTATGCGTCGGGCTTGGAAATCTTCATCTAAAAACACCTTTCAATGAAAACGAAGAGTCGGTCTCGGATAAGGATACCGTTTACTGTTGACGATTTACGCAAACGTTATAAGGAACATGGAATGTTTGAACTGCACAGCTGTTTAATGTCCTCAAAAAATACAAGACTGACATTACCGCCCTCTAAACGAAAACAGTGTGACATCTGCTGCAGCTGCCATGCAATAATGCGCGAATTCATTGTACGATTTGAGGTAAGCCGAAGGTTATGCAATTAGGTCTCAAACCTCAAACCAATAAATGAAAGGCTTGCCAAAATTCGCATTAAGGCAAAAATTTTTCACATCACTCTGATTTGTGCACATTGGAACAAGCATATGAATGCTGTTCCCAAAATGACATCAAAATCGTTGCAGAAGACTTTAACGCAAAGGTGAGTTAAGAAATTATCTTAGATGCAACTGTCCAAAAGTTCAGCCTTCACACAAAAATTTCTGATAATGATAGAAGGCCGCGGGTATAAACAAGGTGGTTAGTAGTACCAGATTCCAACATCTCAATATACATAAAGCAACGTGGTTGTCACCTAATAAAAACACAAGATCTCAAATTGATCACTTTATGATAGACGAAAGTCATGCTTCCAGTGTATTGGATGTATGTACTATCCGAAAAACCAACATCGACTCGGATCATTATCTTGTTGCGGCCAAAATCCGCATACGTCTGTGTGCTGTGAAAAAGACACCAATTTAGAAAAAGAAGCAAAGCAAATGCATCTTGTGATGAATGAGGACAAAACAAAGTACTTTCTGTCAACAATCACTCATACCAACAGATTTTACTTTGGCTTAAGTAGTTAATTAAGAAATGAAGCCATCTCTCGACAAACAAAAAGAACACTCTACAAATCTCTTATCATGCCTGTCTTGCTGTATGGTGCAGAAACTTGAACAATTATCAACAGTGATGAAAATGCGTTAGAAGCATATGAGGGAATAATTTTTTAGAAGATCTATGGTCCCTTACGCGTTAACGACAAATATCGAATTAAACGGAAAAATGATCTGCATGAGCTATACCGTGACATGGACATAGTTAAACACTTAAAAATAAAGCGGCTTCGCTGGGTTGGTCATGTCGCATGAATGGAAGAAATCGCTCCGGCTAGAAAGGTGTTTGATTCGATACCCGTTGGTAGAAAACGGTACTGTCAACTGGCGATAGCTAGAAACTGATTAGGCTGGCCGGCAGAAGTCAAGGATCACTCACGTTTGTAATGGCAAACTAAGTAAAGTAAGTAAGCATTAAATTGCCTCACGAAATTTATAACATTTATGTACAAAATATTCATCACACAAAGTCTGAGTTCTAAAGTCTGGTCTAAAGTGCGTAGCTTCGTGTATAAGAAAAATCTTTAAGTACTCCTACAATAAACAAAAATGTCTAGTATGATATCAGTACACAGATTCAATTCTATCAGACAATCAGCTTGTCCTACATAAAATAACCTTGTCTTTATAATGATTCGTCAATAGTCACAAAATAAGCCTGTTTTTCGGAGACTTCCACCTTCTACGTCTAGTGATTACACTGAGTTGAAAATTCAAAGTGAAGTTTGTATAACATAAATATAGTTATCATCGATTTCTGATACAATACCAACATTATTTTGATATAGAGATTATAAATTTTCCGACTGAACACTTACATATATCACTAAAAATAAAGTACGATATCTGGTCACAAGTTTGAACTGCTAATATAAAAATTCAACTACATATCCTGAAATTAATATTAATTTTTCCTTTCTTAGTTTAATAACTCTGAAAATTATTTCATTAATATAATTCCTGTAAAATATATTATAAATAAACTAAAGCAATTAAATTAAAAACACGGTGTATAACGTTTTATATAGTTTTTTGGCTGACAACAAATTCTATTATCTCTAAAAAAGTTTGTGTTTATTTGTATATCCGGATATTCGAAGACTTCCCGGGAGCGCCTGCGACTAGTTATGAACATGCGAATTCCCTAGTCCTCAGGTGTATAGTACTAGTCTATAGTACTATCAAATATACAGTACTTCATAATCCACTTTACGTGGGCACAACTGGTAAATTTTACATTGAGTTGTCATTGCCGGTATCAATTGTCCCCGCACGATACCCTTTTCACTTGTTCTTGATTTGGAAAGTAATGAATAACACG